CTCAAGACCAGGTCCTTCATAGAACTGAATAACTTCCAGGAAGGCCAGCAATAAGATCTTCTGAGGCAATTTATCTTAAAAGCTGAGCAAGGCATCTGGGATCTGGAATCTGCGCCTCTTCACCCTGACCAAGACTAATTACTACATGGTGGGGAAATTATCTGGTAACTAGACTTTTAAATAATTTGTCAAGCTTGACTGCACTGCAGCATCTCTGAATGTCGAAGGCAATGGGGACTCCAGGCATTTGGACAACTGTACTATGTTTTAAAGAGATTATACTTCAGGTTGAATTATGTGGAAGATATTTATATTTAGAATTAAATGATATGGTACATACAGAGTTTGTTTCTCCAGTCTTTGTTCATTTCATGTTACTTTTCTAATATGCATACAGAGCTGAGTAAATTCTTTCAGAACAGCAGAATAGGGAAATTGTAAGTCAAACCATTTTAATTAGCTTCAATTAATTGAAACACCTAACCATTTTTATAACTAGTTCTTTAAATATACACATTTTAAACCAGCTAAAGGAAACTCCTTGGCTCGACTTCTTTCCCTCAAAGCAGTGAGGAGAAATATTAACTGCTTATAGGTTATACTACTCCTTGGCATTTACCCAAAGGACTCATCCTACTGTAGAGATACCTGTACATCCATGTTTGTTTCTGCTCTTTTCACAATAGCGAAGACATAGAAGCAACATAAATGTCCCTCAACAGATGAGTGGATAATGAAAATGTCATACATTTACACAATGGAATTATACTCAGTGGTAAAGAAAGACAAAATCATGAAATTTTCAGGTAAATGGATGGAACTAGAAACTGGTATGCTAAGTGACATAACACTGACTCGTAAAAACAAATGATGTGTGTTCTGCCTCATTTGTGGATCCTAGCATCAAATATTTGAGCATATATCCTGATATCGCTGCAAGGACCAGAAAAATGAAAAAGGAATCATTGAGGTAAAGGAAAAGAAGGAACCCAAGAGAGAAGAACAGAAGGAGACAGATGTTACTAAGGGGGAAATGGGGGTATTTAAATGGGAGGAGGAGAGGGAGGGTTATATAAGGAACTATGGAGATAAAGGAGCTCAAGGGAGATGGTACCATAGGAGACAGGAACTATCAAGGAAGAAATGAGGAAAATGGGGATATTTTAAATGAGGAGGGTGTGGAGGGAGGGTTAGACAGACAGAGAAAGAGAGAGAGAGAGAGAGAGAGAGAGAGAATGCTTAGGTAATGTTTAAAAAAAAACAGAGGGAATCTTATTAGCTTAAAAACCTACTGAAGAATTACACAATATCTCTATATGAGTCCATGTATATAGCTGAAGACTACATAACAAGAAACAGTGCCAGACAGGTGAAACCTCCCTTTGAGTCGTTGGCCAGGGCAGTCCAAGACTCCAAAAACTACACAGGCTACTGCCACAGCCCTTGGTTGGCTCCCAGAATTTGAAGGTAAGACCCTAGTGCTGAAGACAGTGCATAGTTTGGACAGAGGATTTTTGAGCAACGGAGCTGGAACTGACCTGGAAGCCCCCTCTCCTAAGGCTAGCTCTCATCATTTTGGAGAGCAAAACACAAGCTGCTAAGGCAGAACATCACTTGATGGTCCAACTGCAGCTTTAAGGTCTAATAACCAAATCAACAATTGGCACAGCAAATGACATTGGTGCAGTAGTGGCACTTTTATCTTGGGGGTAATCAACAGCTACCTAATTGAACTTAAAGCCCACTCAATAGAAGACTCATGTGGCACCATGAAAATGGCCAAATTCACATTGCTGGAGAGGTCACAGATCTTAGAGAAAACCCAGACCCCAAAGCTGTCACATATGCAGACAAATGTAATTTCTTACTATGTGCAAAGTATGGATCCTTATATTTACAGACAAATATCCCAGTCACCACTCATCAAAGAAGCTTCTTTTGCAACAGACAGAGACTATTAGAGTTCCACAACTGATGATACACAGATGTCTGTGAATTGCCCAAGCCTAAGTGGCACATCTACAATGCAACCTCTATACCTAAGGCACACAGAACATAGAACAAGGGGTAAAGAGGACACTAATGCATGTCTCAATTCTCATCAATGAAGCTCCTTCATGCAACAGAGGGCAAGGAATGCAAAAGGTCACAAATGGGCAAAAGCATAGAGAATGAGTCTACAGAGTATGGAGTAAGTAAGTAAGGATTCCTAATAAATCCTGCCCACCCATGGCTCAGGGACCACTAGAGAAGATGGAGTAGAAAGACTTTAAGAGCCAAGGAGGAGGTGCATAATCATATGGAAATAGAGTCCTACATGCTCCTGGGACCTTCCTCATATGAACCTACAGCAATGGTGTCAACAAACACAAGACCCATGCAAACTCAAGCAGACAAAACCCCAGCACAGAACTGTGGAAATGGGCAGCAGGCCCCAATATTAATTGAAGAACTATTGGGCAGCTGATTACTGCTGGGTGAGGAAGAGCTGATCTTCTTAAATGGAGGGACTCTAGAAAGGCTGACTAGACATAAGCGGATGAACTTGCACTGAGGGACACCTGGGGATACTAACTTGACATAATAGGCTTTTACAAAAAAATGATGGAATGCATGAACTCCAGTGGGGAGATATATGGGAGGGTGCCAGTGGGGAAGGGGATATAAAGGTAATTAAGATTGATTAAGATGTTCTGTATGAAATATACAAGAATTCAATTAAAAATTTACAAAATATTATATACTTACATGACTCGAATCTTAAAAGAAAATGTCAACAAATTAGCAACGTTTGGATAGCAACGCATTAGAGGCCTGGCATCTAAGCACATCAATAATTCTGCCATTGACAAAGAGAAAGTGGGGACAATAAGTTGCCCTAACCGGAAATGTGAGATTGGCAAAAAGTTCTCCTAAAATCCCTTTGAGAGCTGGGCTCTGAGGTTCACTCCCTCCCCATGATAAAGATTCTTTTCTGTACAATCCCTGAGTATCTCAGGGGAAAAGAACTAGCTTCTAAAACAGAACATGTCATGTAATGAAATCCCATTTATTACATTAAAGGAAATACAGTGCCTTAAAATATGAACTTTTCTGTCACAGGGCTCCAAGGCAATTCAAAAATATGATGCCCTGGCTTTAAAAATAGTCCTCTGTTGTCTTAGCAACCTCTGCCTGTTTAGTTCGACCGCAAATGTGGAAGCTACAGATTAATATTTTAAATTTCATAAGTAATTTTTAAAACCTCAGTCATTAGACATAGGAAAATTCTAATTCAAAATTACTTATGAAACTTCAGAAAAGGGCAGAGTAAACAAATACTTTAAGATGATTTTGAAATATAACAGTTTTAATTTTCTTAATGTGGTACATATCTGAACTTTGTTATTTTTATTCTAAATTTTAAACTTATGTAAAGTAAGAGATTAGATAAATTATGACTGCATCAGCATAATGTCAGGTTACAATGTAAGTGTGGAATAGATTCTATATATTTTACATCTAAGCAGAATCCATGGAAGTGTAGGGCGACATGTGTGTGAAGTAAATATTACATATCTGCTAGCAATTCAACAACTTTGTAAAGAGACAATATATAGGGCAAAGGCGACCCTACCATTTTCAGAATCTATCTGGCCTAAATGTATTCAATAATTTCCAATCCCTGAATGCACAAACATGCATATTTGGCATCATGCTAGATGCTTTCCCAGTTAATTTCTACATTTCACCACAGACTTGAAATTAATTACTATTATGCATCTGCTTCTATGGGTGAGAAACTCAGCTTCCCCCAAGCCATGCTGTCTTCATAACATCAAGTTGCTTTGAATAGATGGGAGGCATAACCACACATCAGAATGTGACAGGTCCCCTTACAGAGCTCAGGCAGTCCTCGAAGCATCAAATTCTTAGTAAAAATCAGAATTGATCTACTTACAAAAAGGCCCACAAACTTCCTTCATTTTATCTTGAGTAAACTGGCCCAAATTACTGGCCCATTAATTCAATAAGAACATAATAAAGAATTGATCTTTAAAACACATAGTTTTGCATTAGCTCATTTAATATGTATCCAATATTTGATGTATTATTTATCACTCATAAATATCTCTAAGGTACATACACTCAAATATTGTTTCCTGAACTGCAAAATATAACCAAGAAATTCCCATATACAGTTAGGATCCTTTTTTTGAACTCGCAGACTCTTTATATTTTCTTTTTATGGGTGTATTTCAATGAGCCTAAAATAACTGGCTGTGGAGGAACACAAGGAACTAGGATTAATTGTTAACCTACATTGTACTTATTATTTACCTTGTATAGTCCCAACTGGAATCCATTAAAATCTTTACTATATTTCCCATTTTACTGACAAAATGATATTTAGAGGAGGTAAAAATACCTTGCATAATGCCACAAAATTGATAGTATGCTAAGATTTGAGTATAGGTGTTTTTTTAAACAACTACTATAAGTGTGTTTTTCTACTTTTCCTTTTTCTTGGTACTGGAATTGGACATAGGGTCTCATGCACACTAGGCAGATGTCCTAGCACTGATGCATACTTTTCGTCTATTTTTCACTTTATATTTTAAAACAAGAGTCTTGCTAAGTTGTCCTACTAGCTTTGAACTCCCTAGGCAACCCTTGAACTTGGGATCCTCCTGCTTCAGCCTCCCAAGTTGCTGGAATTACAGTCTTATGACACTGGTCCTGTTTCAAGTATATTTTTCAATGCAATATTTTTATACTGAGACAATGTTTTTTCTGTGCTACAGATTTGTGTCATTCATTCCTTTGAAATTAAATAATTACTTAAAATTTCTATCTACATATGTTTTTAATTTTTATCATTTTAGAGGGGGATCGGAAAAGAGCTATATGATCAGCACAAAATTCCTATGGCTAACAGAAGAATAAAGGGATTTTTCAAAAGCAACATTTTGTACAACTGTTTCATTAGGCAAACTATAAACACAGAATAACATACTTACTCATCTATTTGACAAACACACATCTCCACCTCTTTCAGCGCAGTCTGCAGTTTGCCCAGCAGCTTCTGATAGATGTCTTGCGTTTCTAAGTCTTCTTCTTTTAATAAATACCGGAGTCCGTGGCCATCTTGCTGTCCCAGAGACAGTCCCGAAGGGGCTGCCATGGTCGTGATTGTGTGCTGAATATATACCATAGGGCTCAATTTCCCTGAGGAATGAAAATCATTCCATCATTCATCTTAAACCTATCCAGTCCAGCACATTTGAAAAGCCCAAGCTCACATAAAATAAAATGCCAATCCAATGCTGGATTTAATTTAGAAATTAAAGCTTGTAAGGTGTTATAGTTAAAAGCTACAAGTGTGTTTAACTTGCTTGTCTGATTGCAATGGTACGCAATGGCACACAATGGCCTTCTGTACCTCTGGTACTTTCCTCAAAGGTACAACCATTTCAGAGTGCATTTCACAACCAGATGAACTGTGCCTATCATACACATGAGGATATCAAGAGCAATCACCCTTCTTAAAAGGAAATCATGAAGGTCTTCACCATTTTAGTGTGTACATGCTTCTAAGTAATTATCTGTGATTATAGTGAGAATCTTTTATTTATGAAAGTATAGGCTTCCTTGCACATTGGGAATCTACCAAATTTTAAGATGCAAGAATAGCTACAAGTTGGCTAAATTAGTACTCATGAGCTGATAAGATTTCAAAAGCTAACATACCTTGCTCAGAAGTTTTATTTTCTTTATCATGAGAACTATGTTTCCTACTATCCAGCTGCACACCAAAAGCACTCCCTAGGGAAGTTGATGTTTTGGGATAAGAAACTTCCATCACATTGACATGGCAGTTGGTAGGGCAGAAATCACTGCTGTGCAATGGGGAGATCTTAGATTTGGCCTGTTTGAATGTGGGCCAAGCTCTGTTCTTCAGCACACGAGAGAACTACAATTAAAAAGAAATGGAGATCAGTTGAACACACAGTAATGAGTCAGACATTTCACTTGAACTTCCATAACAAAATTAAAAGAATATTAAATTATATCAACTAAAACGAGGTGAAATAAATTAGAGTTTAAACACTTGTTTCAAAATCCAAACATCTTAGTTTAAAAAAAGCAGTATAAGTGGCATCTGTAGATACTTCATTTGAAACTCCGATTGCACGCTAGGTGTTAAAATAAATGAACCTTTGTGGCCAATACAACTCGACGAACTCAGTTAGTTCCATGGGTTCCCAGTAACCGAGAGAGCCTAATAGAGAAAATTATTTGACAGGACACCAGGGAGAGGAAGTAAATCTTTAAAACCAAGCAAGAGAACAAAACAGTACAGCCACCAGGTGGTCAAGGGGGGAAGGAAATGGGATTGCTCCAAGCAGCATCAGAAAGTAACGGGAAGGATAAGTCTGTGTGAGCTCAGCAGCAAGGCGTGGTGGTGTTGACCCAGAGTGTCTGGGTGGCTGGGGTTCCAGGCTTCTAGCCAGTCCTGCTGAGATTTCAGGTGAGGATCAGCTTGGAGGTGTGCACTCTGCTTTCACGCCATAGATAACAGAGTGACAGTCAAACGATTTATGGCTTCCAAAGGTGGCCACTCTACTGTCTCAAACTTGTAATGACTTTCCAATCCAGTCCCTCAATGGTCTGCAAAGCTTCCCACATTCTTGATCTTCACCCAGCAAGCTTCCCATTTCTTTAAAGCTCTCTCTTCCCTTGCTCCCTAAGCTCTTTCTGGCTTGCACATAGTTCCTTTCATACACTACCCACTCACCCTGGGCTTCAGTGTGTCAGGATTTTTCTTAATCATTGCCAAACGTTCTCCTCTGCAGATTCTTATTCTAGAAAATCATCAGGAGCCTCTGCTGAATTTTAGGCCAGGTTCCATTCCCCTGCCTACAATTACAGGACACTTGCCACTCTCCCTGTAATTATGAATAACAGCTCATCTTTAGCTTAGCTGGCAGAGGGAAAAGTCTATGGGGCAATAACTACATCTGCCTTGTGTACAAGAAAGAGACATCCATAGCTAAACTGAATTGTGGTTTCAAAAGCAAATGCCTGGGAATCTCTAGCTACGTTAGTGATGGTTACAACTGTCATAGTACCTGACACAAAGTTAGGTAAGTCAGTATCTTTATCTTACTACTCTAAGTAGTTGAGGGATTTGGATTAAATAATCTCATTGATCTTTTTGCTCTTTAAATTGTAACTACAATACCACTTATGCTACTAGCACAGTAATCATTTTGGCACTTAAAGGAACAAAAATTATCACTGTTACTAGTTGCTTTCTGACATTCCTAGGTTAAATTCAATGATAAAATCCAAAGTCACACTCCATAAACATAAGCTTCCTATTAGGATAAAAACCCTCTTATTTGCATATACAGATATTTATTATTATATACACACATATACATGTATATTCAATTGTTTGCGTCTTACATCTAGCTGCACAGCTCAGTACAGTAACATTGGGGATTTAAATGGAGCTGGACTGAAATGCAGAAATTATTAATAAGATTACCACCAAATTTGATGATCCTGTGCAATGAAAAGAACTGTAAACACTGAAAGGAAGGAAGGAAGGAATTCAGGTAATTCCTACTCTGCCCTCCTTAATTTAGTAACAAGCTGTGGGTTGGGACAGACCCAGAATGGAAGAGAAGCTGGTTGCAAAGTTTCCACCACAAGTTCTTCTCTACTGTAGGTGCAGGATTGATGTCTCTGCTGAGGCGCCCATGACACGCACAAAGGCACAGAAGTCAATTTTGCTTGTAATTATAGGTCACAGGAGTCACCCCAATAAGAGGTTAAGATCATCATGTCCTCTCTTTCAACCAATTATCCAGCCATTCAGAAAGAGAGGGGGGAGTATTTATCCAGCCCCCAAGCTAAACACTGGAGATACAGCCCTTGTCCCATGTAGCACACATTCTATGAGGGACACAATCAGAAATGATGTAATGTTATCATTATATCAAACAGCCATAAAGTTACAATCATATGTACCATATACATATATATGGGATTATATATGCATAACGAATACATAGGTGTATAAGGTATATAAGATAGGCAATGAGAAATGTTGGTACAGTTGAGAAGGCAATGAACAAAGTGATGCAATGAAGTGGTTAGTGTCGGGGTAGGGGTAAGAGAAGAGGTAGTGGGAGGTTATGGGTAAGGGTTAGGTGCTTCAGTGATCAGAGACAGGGGCAATAGTCACAGAGCCGTATGTCAACACAAATTCTTGACCCCTTTTGTAACTACATGCCCAAATGTGCCTGAACTAATTCAAGAGTTAGAATTTTACAAAAAGCCTCTCTGCCAAGCTTATCTGGAAAGGCAAGAGCTTCAGGAAAACCACCCTGTCCTACCACTGTAGAGTTTTATAAATGGACATAATCTGGACTAGTGACTTTTAATTCATCCCAGCACAATCATGTGCTCTTGTGTCTTGTGCCCTTGACACCTGACCTCATTTCCTAGGCAATCTTAATTTGGTACTCCACCTAAAAAGACGATGAATGAAGGAATGAAGGAATGAAGGAATGAATGAATGAATAAATGAAGGTAAGTAGGTATGCTTAAGAACGAACATAAGCCAAAGTCCTTAAGGGAGGGCCCTATCTCCAGTGCACACAGGAAGATTGGTAAGGATGATTGACATTGGATGAATGAGATATTCTAGAACTAGGGATGAAAAGGCCCCATATTCTGTTAAGATTAATGTGGAGCCAAGCTTGTGCTTTCCCAGTTGAACCTGGAGAAACCATTTTGGATAAAATTATGGGTAGGGCTGGACGCAGTACATGATTACAGGTTCAGAACTTTAGCAAGACAGTTCCATCAGCACAGTTCCAAGAGACAGATGGTTCCAAGAGATCTCTAGGGGAATGAATGTCCTCCAAGTTCAGGTCCAATCTTAAAAACTAAATATAAGAGTTAGGCTATTTGTTCAGGTGATCCCAATGTCAGTGTAGTAATGTCTCATACCATCCTGGGATGTCTAGTATTGACTGGATGTATCCACCAAATACATGTGTTAGAAACTTAATTCATGTCATGGTCTAAATTTTATGTCTCCTAAGGGTCCTGCAGGCTTTCTGCAGAGAATGGCACCAACCCTCCTTCAAGGTGCTGGTGCCTTTGGCTGGTGGGGCCTAGTGAGAGATTTCCAGGTCTTTGCAAGTGCCCATGGAAGAGATCAAAATCAATCAATCAATCTCTCTCCTTCTCCCCTTCCCTCTTCCTCTCCCTTCTGTCCTCCTCCTCCTCCTCCTCCTCCTCCTCTCTCTCTCCTCTCTCTCTCTCTCTCTCTCTCTCTCTCTCTCTCTCTCCTTCCTGTCTCTGCTTCCATATCATTCATAGATTACTGATGGATTAATAGGTTATCAAGGGAGTAACTTTGTTATAAATTCAAACCATCCTTCACATACCTATTCTCTCTCTATCAATATGATCATTTTTGCCATGTCGTGACCCAGCAAGTAAGCCCTCACCAGATGCTGACGATCTTCAACTTCTAGATACTAGAATAGTGAGTTGAATAATCATCTATTCTTTATAAGTCACCTAGCCCATGGTCTGTAGTTACAGCATCACAACTCGGACTAAGCCGAGGTGGACACAGGAGGAGCACCTCTCAGTCACAGGTGCTAGAAATGCGCAGGATACATTTTGAAGACCAAAATTGTGCTCCCAATTTTGAAAGAAACAGCTTTCTGAAGTAAAAAATCTTAAAACGAGGAAGGTACAGCTTGTGAAGTGACAGGTGCATCCAGAAAAACATGCTCTGTACCATGTGTTAGAAAATGACTCTGCAGACACCAACTTGCCCATGTTTGTAGCAACATCAAATGAAACACTAAACTCACGAGGGAAGCAAAGTAAAGCTCTTTTTCCCAATTGAAAACTGAGATTTTTTTTTCAATAAAGACATATACAGGGTATGAGGTAAGTTGTGAAAGACGTTTTAGAAGATATAGAGCAGCACAGCCTGAACTTATTACCACTTTTATTCATTATTGAAGAATTACAGTTTTCCTTCAGTATCTGCAGGGATTGGTTTCAGGATACTCTAGGGATATTGAAAGCCAAGGATGCTCAAGTGTCCTACATAAAGCGGCATAGTACTTATATACAACTTGATGTTTTTTGTTTGTTACACTTATCCATCCATTCATTCATTCATTCATTCATTCATTCATGTGTGTGTGTATGTGTGTGTGTGTGTGTGTGTGTGTGTGTATGCCATAGCATATACAGAAGATAATGATGAAAATCTGTATATTGACAGGAATGCACAATTCTTGGACATGGAATTTCCAAATTTTTTGATGTATTAGAAGTCAATTCACATTTAAATTCAAAATAGTCACTTGACTAAAAACACAGAAATAATACAAAGCTAAATGATTACTGTGCACATGCCCCCACCCCCATTTCGATTAAGCATAAAAGTCTTTGGAGAGGAGTTATGAAAGTTTATTAGATGAGCTTCTTGAGAAAGGAGAACATAGAAAAAAATTTTACATGCAATTTTCTAATCCATGCGTCAGTAAGTAAAGGTACTAGGAATATTCAAAGTCAGATTTCCAAGTCTTTCAGTGGAATACTTTGTATAAACAAGAACTATCTGTAGGATACCCACAAAGAGTCACCAATACTCACAGTAAGTCCAACTGTAGAATTATTCTAACCAGAAGAATGACTGTAGAATTAAGTAGGGTTCTCAGTACAACATAAGAAGAGAGTATCCCCCAAAGCAAGTAATACTTTCACATCTGAACTAACCATAATTCCATTCCACAGAGAATAAATTCCTATACAAGATGCATTCAGCGCTCCAGTACTTTCTGGCCTTGTCTCATACAAGGACCAAAATACACCTGTGACCTTTGGAACCAGCCAGGAAATTTATTGTTATCTCAGGAGCCTCATTATAGAAGCTGCTGGAATCAACCGGTTTCTTCTTAACAATTTTTAAAAATTTATGTTTATTTTATGTGTATAAGTGTTTTTTCTGCATGTATGTAAGTAAATGCAGCCAGGCTTGACGTGCCCTCGGAGATCAGAAGAAGGTATCAGATTGCTTGGAACTGGAGTTATAGAGGGCTGCTGAAAGCATGCTTGGAATATGTGCAAAATCACCACCAGCCAAGAGTATCTATGATGGTCAAGTCACATAGGCATGCATGCAGAGGGTCTGACATGCAGTGCCCTTATGTCTCAGTTAGATAAAAAGCTATGCCTTATTTACACTGGTAGGTGAGCATCTACTCTATACCTTGCTAACAGACCACATTTTGTTGCTAGTAATTTCCTGAGCCCTTACAGAGAACTGTCCTTTCACCTGTATAGCTTTTATTCCTGAACACCGTACTTAGAGCACACCATCCCTGGAAATAAGAACTTTGGGAGTGGAAACTGGGGCTCTTTGTTCTATGGAACAGGGAGGCTCCTAGTCCCCAGCTTTCCTTAATCTTAATAGTCTCGTGTGCAGTGTCTTACTAGATACAGCGCCATCCATCTTCCATGTCCACTAACTAGTCATGCAGGAAGTAGCATCTCTCTATTCCTTGATCCCTATTTTTAAAACCTAAAACTTTTAGAGTCAAAATAAAGTAAAGCCAGCCTAAAATTTTAGTTTCTATGGAAACATTTTATTTCACAAAAAGAGGAGTGTGGAAGCTTTCATTTGGAAGAAAAAAATATGCTGCTAATAATAACTTAAAAATAAATATGTGGGAATTAAAATTCTGTATTCACAAATGCTATGGCTTCTGTTAGATATGAACTGGATACATAAATGGAATTAGTCCTCTACAAACTACCAAGATTATCGTCTTAGGTATGTACAGCTCACTGAAAATGAAAAGATCTTTCAGCCTGGCATGGCAGTACACTCTTTTAATCCCAGCCTCCAGGAGGAGGCAAAGGTAGGCAGATATCTGTAAGATAAAAGTCAACCTGGCCTCAGAAAGATCCCTGACATATTTTCATGCTAGCCTTGCATCTCTCTGATGAAAAAAAGAGAGTCAATTATATTGTTCATGGCCAAGTGAGATGACAGCAAGCACAGCTTGTATAACGCTTAGGCCTTAGCTGACTGGACACTTCTTTTTTTCTTCTAAATTAAGTAAGTAAGATGCTGGGGTTTTGTCTGCCTGAGTTTTCATGGGACTTTTGTATGCCGACACCATTGCTATAGAATCATATGAGCAGGGTCCCAGGAGGTGGTAGGACTCTATTTCCATATGGTCGTGCACCTCCTCCCTCCCCTCCTCTTACAATCTTTCGGCCCCCTCTTCCAAGATGGTCCCTGACCCCAGGGTTGGTGAAGTTTAATATAGGAATCTTGTCTAAGGACCATCGGTCTGCAGGCACTTAATCTCTGTGTTTTGTCATTTGTGACTTTTTGTATTCCTGGCCCTCTGTTGCATGAGGGAGCTTCATTAATGAGAATTGATAGAACTGGGGAAATGAACAGCAGACTCCAATCTTAGCTGAAGAAACATCGGCAACTGATTGCCCAAGAACATCATATTGCTAAGTATAAAATATACTCCAATACACAGTAACTGTGATTATTGGAAATTTTAAAGTTGAAGTGGACAGCCTAAAACAAGAGACTCTAGATAGGCTGACTAGACCTCAGTGGATGGACTTGTATTGGGGAACGTCTGGGGACACTGACTTGACACATTGGGCCTTAATACGGATGGCAGAGTATATGGGTTCCAGTGTGGGGACTATGGGAGGGTGCTGATGAGGATGGGGGTATAAAGATGATTAAGATTATTTGAGATATTCTATATAAAATACACAAAAATTCAATAAAAAAGCAAATAAAATAAGTGAGATGACATCCATCAAACTGACTTCCTTAGCTACATGACCTGAGGAAAGATTTGTCTGCTATAGGCAGAAGGGGGACAAGACTTGGTGCACTTAGCTCTTCTGAGATTCAACCAACGATGTATATTAAATTTCTGTCTATAATTCGGTGATGTTATTTTTATCATCTATAACCATTTCCCATTAGGCTGTCCACTTCTACTTTAAAATTTCCAAGAATCACAGTTACTGTGTATTGGAATATATTTTATACTTAGCAATATGATGTTCTTGAGAATCTCCACCATTTGGGTGGCATATGTTTCTCAGTCCCCTGATCCCACACCCCTTACTTCATTGCAAAACCTATTTTTTTTTTTAGAAAATAAGAAATGATAGCAGCTTTATCCACCATAACCACATTACCATATGTCTGCATGCGTTTTGGCCCCTACACACGGTTAGGGTTAATCTCTCTGTCTCATGGGTTTCCACACCAAACCAGGTCATCATCAACTTGCACTTCAGTAGGAGAAAAGATGAGCAAGCTCTGCACTCTGCCCCCATCCACACTATACTGTTGCCCTATGCCACTCCAAATGATCACTGGAATAATGTAATTTTATCCCTTTTCTTTTTTAATTAGAATTCAAATCTCCTTTTCTAATCCAGACAATAAGCCAACATCACCATCAATAAGTCCAGGCTCATTTTTGTATTACTTGAATGTCATTTCTCCTCCCTGTCACTCTGACATGTCTTTTGATTATAGGAGATAGCAATGCTGAGTATTCAATCCACAGTGATTTTTTTTTTACAGAAATCCTATTGTTCTCATAGTCAGAACCATACTGCTGAGCACATAAGCTTTATAAGTCAGTGCAAGGTCAGTGTTAGGAGAGCCAGTGTTAGAATACAAGCAAGCAAGCTTCAAAGTCCAGTGCTCTGCCAGCTGTCTGCCATGGGGCAAGTTCCTTGACTGCTTTGAACTCCAGTCACTGTTTCAGTGATATAATCCGGTATAGAGGACTAGAGACATGGCTCAGAAGTTCTTGCTCCTCTTTCAGATGATCTGAGTTTGGTTTCTAATACCCACATTGGGTATCTCACAACTGCCTTACTTACCACTCCAGCTCCAGGGGATCTGACACCCTCTTCAGACCTGGGCACCCAAACACACATGGCACCCACACATACACACGCACATACTCACAAATAAAAAATAAAATAAATACATAAACTATTGCACATAATGCCTGATACTTGAGAGTAAAGAGCCAAAACCGAAAACTGTTGCATTTTACAGAACTCTAGGACACAGCATCATATAAAGGAGAATGTATGATGCTAGCAGCTTCAGTTATCTTTGATGGGACTCCTAGCAGGCAAAGATGGCATAACTACTGCCTACTTCATATATTTAGATCTTTCTTTTCAATTAGATTATAAATGTGAGAGGGCAGGCATCCTTAAGTAACTTTGTACTTCTATGCCTGCATATAGGGACATGCCAGTAAATAGTTCTCTATCCTTCCTGCCCCATCCTATAAATAAAGTCCATGAACTATGCCCTGAAAGAATCTGCCACACAGAACAAATCCATTTTGTTTTACCTGTTATTTTCAGAGCATGTTTATGAACACTGACCGTGACACTTCTTGGTGTTGTTGCTATAAAACCTGGTGAGAGATTTTTTTTTTTTAGAACTCAGCCCAAGAAAGGCTATGCTTATTTTTATAGAGAAGAATATGTGTGTGTGTATGTGTGTGAATATGTGTGTGTAGATGTATATATTTCACAGGAATTTTGATAACAATGGAATAGACTGTTTCCAATTTTCATTACAGAAGTCCAGGTATAATATTAAATTTCAGCAACTACATAGAATCATGGCATCTGCTAACCTATGACTCTTTACCATGTTAGTCTACACCTGCTATGCTAATATAGTCTTCCTTCAATATCCAAATTCCTACTTGAACAGTTACTGGAAGTGGGGCTTTGGGAGGTGGAGGTATTAGGACTAGAGAATATCCTGAGGTAGGACCCTGGCTATGCCATTTAGCAGTTTTGTAGGTAGAAGATGAGAGACCCAAGCTAACAGGCTTGCTACCTCCCATTTGATGCCCTCTATCATTTTCAATGCAGCAGTAAGACCCTCACAAGATTCCTACACTTTGATATTGAATTTCCCAGCTTTCAGAGCCATGACATGCATAAACTTCCATTCTTTATGAACTACCTAGTCTAAGGTACTTTGTTATAGCAACAGAAAACAGACTGAGAAAGTTATATAAAAGTTATCATTATTCAATAAGTCAGTACATAACAAAGATATCAACAAGTGATTTAAATTTGACTCTTAATAACTTCAATAACAATTATGTGGAAAACTTATAAAATCTTTACCTTTTTATAACTGCATATTCTGTGATGTATGTGCTCAATTCTTTCACTACACGTGGCACTGAATTTATTCTGAAGGTCAGTAGGAATCACTTCATTCAGAGAATTCAGGCTGGTGCAGTTTTGTATAAAATGATCATCACTTTTTGCTAGGGCTTCAAGAATCTGTAGGGATAAATATACACAAGACAAGAGAAGAGTAACTTCAAAAGCTACCACATACAATGTTCATAAGTTAGCACTGCGGGGTTACTGTCCTGCATTCCTGCTCTTTTAGAAGTTTCTGGGGTTTCCATGTTTGGGGCAGCACTGCCTGTGAAGTGATTTAACTTGTCTGTTTGGAGTCTCAGGTTTCACCTGCTGATGATAAAAGCCTTCCAGGGAGACAAGTGGACTTCAAAGGTGCCCTGCTGGATAAATCAGCACCTCTGATGTGGGCACACAGCTCCTGGATTTTAGTCAGAGACATGCACTCAGAATATTTTTCCCTTCAGTTTGGTGGTGAAACAAAAAACAAAACAAAACATAACAAAAATACAAAGGGATAGCAGCAGCACCATTGTTGAACATTGTCCACAACTGCTCGTTGAAAGGCTGAATAAATGGAAAGTATCTCGGTATATTATAAATTGATGTTTATTTAGTGTCTGAGCCCTGGCTGATAAAAGCACCAGCTAAAAGCATCTAAATGATACTGTTGATGAGAAAAATCTTTTTGTGTATTTCAATCAAGTTAAGGCTCTGTGTGTGTGTGTGTGTGTGTGTGTGTGTGTGTGTGCATGAACATGCATGCACACTTTGGAACACTGGGAATTTCTAATGAAGGGAGAGATATTCAATCATTTATACATAGCATTTGTGGTTGTTCAGAATGGCAAGAATTGATTATAACCTTAGTCACTATTTTCTTAGTATTCTGTAAGATAAAAGATGTGCTCTCTTTAGCTCAGTTCTCTTCCACCGTCACTTCCCTGAATGTGGACTATGGGATTTTGCTTGATCACTAGTCTACAAATCAGGGCTGACTTTATCATTAGCAGTGTGTGCTCTTAGCTAACTTTCTTAACTTTGACTTTCCTCATGTGTAAAATGAAAAGATAAGTGTCATGCTAGCTTACAATTATCAGATATAGAATAATCCATGTGATTAGCAAATTTGAAACAGATAACAAAGGAACAAAACTCACCATTTAATAATAAAGCACAGTTGGTAAGATATTGCATTTTGAAAACATCTAAGTTATACTAACAGATACAGAATGTGTATTTTAAGTTGACTTTTAGAAAATAAAAAATGATTATTTTTAGAATAGCTGTCTATTATTTTTCCACTCAAATTTTTAAATATATGTTATAAATGGCAGCTCTTTCAACTACACATATTTGAAACTAGAATTAAAATGAACACATAAAGAACAGAAGCTGTATCCCACTCTCCAATTTGTAATATTTGAGTTCTCACAGATGATAAAATGGCCAAATGAAACATGGAAGCCTAATGTGTGGAGGGCACAAGAGGAGTCTGGTTAATTAATCTTTTATAAGGACCAGGAAAAGGAAGCCCAAAGTGACCTCTTTCATAGCAAAGGTCTTTTCCACTTGGATATAAACCCCCTTCCTCCCTCTTTGCTTTCCTTTCACCTAAGGACCATATGGTGAAGTCATTCCCAAAGAGGAATGACACAGATGTCTATGGATCTGTTTACAAATTGGTTTGTAAGGTTCCCCAAGTGTCGACACTTGCAGAATTTTAAATTACTTGTAATATATTTCAGGACATGAAGGAAAAATCAGAGGATAACTTTATGTTAAAAAAAAATGCCGTGAAAATTACCTGAAATGTATTCATTAGCCTGAATTAATAGGGCAGCCAGATTAATAGAGTCAGGAAAGTCTTTGTCACGTCAGCTCAAACTTGCCTAGCAAGAGTCCCATCTAACTCAATACTGGGTTCCAAAACAGATTAATAAAAGAGACCTCATGTACCAAAGATTGAGGAGGGAGGTGAATGAGCTGATGACTGGAACATGCACAACCATTCCCTTCACTAAAGTGATGGGGAGAGTTCGGGTGTGTATGGTCAGAGTCTCTTGTACCTTGGCAGTCAGGCTGAAGAAGCCTTTGGGCTCAATCATCTTCTCCACGACATTGCACTTGATGCCAGCTGTGCTGTCGTACTCATACACAACCCCGTACTCCAGATGAACATTGTCCACTGTCAGACTCACGTGCTCCTTCTTGCCGTCGATGATGGCCATGGTGTTGAACTTGTCGATGACTTCTGGAATGCAATCTTAATGCAACAAATTCACGATTTGCTCATATCATCAATAATTTTGAGTCTCTGGGTATTTTTTAAGGTTTCTTTAAAGACTAGCTAAGTCAGAGATGCTAAACAGCACATCTATTCCCGCTAATGTTTGGAAAAATAAAAACATTTTTTAAGACAAGCAAGTACTTGACAGATCAAAATCATGCCATTTTAACCCAACCAGTCTTATCTATACATCCACTTTGATCGATGGATCACATATATACCAATATAAACACTATAGATGTGTCTGTACTTTTTTTTTCTTTAAAAGCATGCAGGAATCAAAATCAGAGGTTCTAAAACTGCCTAAAAGCAGCAAAAAATTTGCAATGAAGGTGACATAGATGAGGCAGAAAAGAGATGAAAGAATTTTTTTTCAGACACATGAGTTCTTCCCATACAGCATCTTGCAGAGAGAACTCACTGAAAAAAAAATCCATCTTATTCACTAGACTAAAATTTCCATCTGAAAAGTTAGCCTATAGTTTGTTTAGCTATAGTCAGGAAGCTGAGGAATAAACTCCTAAAATCTAACATAAGAGATTGTTGTGGACCCAACAGCAGATACTGAATAAACAAAAATAGAATATTTGTTTATTTAAAACACCAAAGTCCTACAAAAGAATATATGAGCGTGTGTGTGTGTGTGTGTGTGCATGAGTGTGTGTGTGTATGAGTGTGTGTGTGTGTGTGTGTGTGTGTGTTCAATGGACTACTGTAAAACATCAGTTCATCTTAAAGTAAATACATCCTGGCTTCAGTTTCAATTATCCTACCAACCAATCTACCTTTTGATATAGACCAATGCTGACTCATTCCAAATGAGGAATAAAAGACTCAGTCATAACTATATTGAATAAATAGCATTGCATCTTATCCTAACAACATTACTGCTCCAGTGAGATTGACAGAGTTTTCATACTACCTGTCAGTTGGATAGGTCAAACCAAGCAACCATCCAGGAATGGAGATAAACAGTTTCTGTGAGGTATTCCTCATATGATCAGTATAAAAAGATGGTACACAACAGGAAATAGACACAGATGGTCTTTGTGCCATGCTCCTAATAAGGAAAATCCTTGTGACTGAGAGCTGGGAGAATGGTTCAATCAGTAAAGGGCCTGACTTGAATGTGGGAGAACCTGAGTCTGATTCCCCAAGATCCCCATAAAAATGCAGAGAACGCTGATACACATTTGTAATCCAAGAACTTGGGGGGTGGGCAGATGCAGGAAATGGTTCATTGACAGTCATTCTAGCCTAATTGTTGAGATCAAGGCCAATAAGAGACCCTATCTCAAAGAAAGTAAATGATGCTGCTAAGGATGACACCCAAGACCACAGGTGCATATACACACACACACAAACACATGCATCTGCATGTGTGCACACGTGGACATACACTAACTAAACAAAATCTTTGTAACATTGAATAAGAGAGGTGATAAAAATATTTGCTTTGTATGCTATTGAGGATTAAAGTTAGCTTTGTACACACTAGACAAGCACTCTGCAAACCTACATACATTCTCAGCCCTCTTTTGTTATTCAAGACAAGGTCATAGCCAAACTTGAGTTGCCCTTATGTTCATGAGGTGATTCTTAGGGGGCCCTGAGACTGATTCAAGATGGGAGCTAGGAGTGTGGTGGCGCATACTTTTAGTTCAAGCACTTGGGAGGCCAAGGCACACAAATCTTTGTGAGATTGAGGTCAGCCTGGTTTACATTTCAAGTTTCAGGCCAGCTGAAGCTACAGGGAGACCTTGTCTCAAAAAGGCCAAAAAAAAAAAAAGGGGGCAAGACAAAACAAACAAACATTTTGGGACTACCGGGATGGCTCCACAGTTAAGAATACTCCCTATTCTTCCAAAGGACCTGGGTTTGATTCCCAGCACCCACATGGTGGCTAAAACAATATCGGTAACTCCACTTCCAGAGGATCTAACACCCTCTTCTGGCCTCTACAGGCATTACTTGCATGTGGTGTACTTACATACATGCAGGTAAAACATTCACACACATAAAATTTTTAAATATTAAAAAATATTTTCTTAAAGTCAGGAGCTATTTGTCAGAGGAATCAACCATGTGATTGGGGACTAGAACTTACATCTCCCACTCTGCCTTGGGGTGAAGCCTAGGAGTTAAGTTCAATCACCAACAGCTTATAATTTAATCAATCACATTATAACTCAAGACCACCATAAAAACTCTTAAGTGATGGAGTTTAGAGTGGTTCCAAGGGGATAGGTAGAAGCCCATGCCAGGAGACAGGTACATTCAGAGTTCATGGTGATGGGGCTCTTGTGCTTGGAACCTTTGCAGAATTTACTGTCTGTACCTCTTCATCTAGCTGATCATCTTGCATTCTTCATAGTAAATCAGATAGACAATGTAAATTATCTTATTGAATTATAGAAAAATGTTAAGTGAAAGGAGGGTGTGTAAGACTCCTTGAACTTAAAATGAGTTGTTCAGAAATAGAGGTGAAAACAGGCATCTGCAACACGGGCTGTTTGCGGGACTGAGTTGCTAACTGGTAGGGTCTGTAATAACTCCCAGGGAATGTGAGAACTTAACTGTAGGACATCTAGGTGCTACAAGGAAAGAGTCCCACACATATTGCATCTGACATTTCCATAAAAACTTACCAGAAGAAAAATTTTCAGCTGTTCTTATTTAGAAGAAGCTAATTGTGTAACGAAAGTGTCCAGAAATTCTCCTACTAATAAATATGTTGGAAGAACACAACAAAAATGTAACAAGGGCTTCCTTGGAAAAGTTCTGAAACAATAATTCAAGGCATTTGGCAAGTGGAGGCACAAATACAATTGCCTCAGTTGGCTTGGCAAAAGAGTCAGTAAATATAGACATTTCAAAAAAAAATTATAAGAAATTATAAGGGTCCTTATCTAAAGATCTCTCTCTCTCTCTTTCTCAGCTTGTCTCTTTCTTACTGTTAAAAAGTTGGGATAGAATAAAAGTCACTTAAATCAGGAACATATTTTAACAGAGCTACAGATTTTCCTGACACAGAACATCTCACAGTTTCATGGATTAAAAAAAAAAAATCAGATCTTGTCAAAATGGGGTTCTGACCCAGCAGACCTGGGGTGGAGGTAGAGATTCTCATTCTTGCTTTGCTTTCAGTGCAGCTCATTCTGGGGACACAGGAACAGCAGAGTCTAAATGGCATTCACCTCCAAAGAAGGAAATCTTGGGCTGGAATCTTCACTTTGTGATGTAACTAGTGAGGAAGACCATTAACCTAATTTCTTCTTCCACAAAGAGAATGGTGATAATCTATCTAACTGATGAGATTTTCTCTTTTGATGGCTGAGAAAATCCAGTGAAATACTGAAATGTGCCTTCTGCTGAGCACAGTGATGTACACTTATAATCCCCTCACTTGGAACTCAAAGGCAGGAGGATCACCACATGCCAGGTCAGCCTAGGCTAAACAGAAAATTCCTAGCCAACCCAGCCAACACTGGTTATGTATAATGAGAATCTGCCTCAAAAACCAACAAAAAAACCAACAAACCAACCAACCAACTGCCTATACAACAGGATGTGGCTATTACATGTCAGCCACTAGCTGTTACTAGTTATATGCCTGAAATGACATCTGTTTGGTAAGAAGTCATAAGTTGAAAATATAAGACCTCAATACTTAGGAGCAGACACACGCACAGGGGAAAAGAATATTGTAAGTAAATGAGGAAGTAGCTTACCTTCCACTTTGCAGTCAAAAGTCTCCCCTGCTTCATCTTCAGGAGGCTTAGCGTGGGACTTCTGCAAGTCCTCCTGAGCGCTCTCAATGCTGTCATACACCCACTGTATGGAATCTTGCTGGAAGTGAGAGGGGAAGAAAGAGACCTCAGAAATACTGATGCAGATACCAGAATGCATATCCACTTCATAAACCTGCTTACAGGGAGAGCTGACAATCCTATTTATGTCCCCTGTTTCTTAAAAGTAAAAAAAAAGAAAATATCAAAATGAAAAGCCATGACAATTCAACCCAGTGACCTTTTTCTAATTAAATTATCTTCAGAAGATATGAAGATAATTATTATTATTAAATTATCTTCAGAAGATAATGAATTGCTTTATGCAAATCTATCTTCCAAAGATGCATACTTTACAACAGGATGCATTTCTCAAAAGTCTCATTTGAATACCTCAAGTATTTTTTAAAATAGAATTATTCATAATTTTTAATTTTGTATGTATGAGTGTTTTGCTTGAGTGTATCTAAGTGCACCCATGTCATGCAATACCTGAGGAAGCCAAAAGAGGGCATAAGATTCCCTGGAATGGAATTACAGATGGTTGTTAGCCACCACATGGGTGCTGAGAGTAGCCAGAGCTCTTAACTGCTGAGCCATCTTTCCAGCTCCTCAAGTATATTTTTAAGTAAGTTCTAAATTATATCTTAAAATAAACATTAATAGACCATGTTTTCAATAAACCAATTATATATAATTATATATACCATTAAAATGATCTATCACATATATTGCAATGTATTGATGGTATTTTGAATCAAACCAAATGAAAACTGGAAGAACAGCTCTCATCGCATTGGCTTTCCAAGTCACATGACTAGCTTTTAATCCTTCCACATCTCAAATCAGCCTAATTTGATTGAAACAGCAGTTCCAATCTTATTTAGAGAAACAAGAGAAAGAAAATGACTTCCAAATAAATGGTTCGAGGGTTATTATATAAGGTTTATATTTTCTCTAGACAGGGCGATAATCAAGTTGAGCTAAATTGCTGAAGTGTAATATAATATGTAATATCCATTTTCCTCCATGAATCAGGCTCATAATCATGTTTACTTATTATACTGCTATAATTATTAAATGATGGTTTAGGGGTTGCAGGTGTGGCATACCCCAGTGGTAGGATACTTGCCTAATATACATGAGGCTCTGAGCTCAATCTCTAGCAGGATACACATTAAAACATGCTAATCAGTTTGGTCACTCTTGTGACTGCCAATGAGCCACACCCTCAGTACCCATGCCTTATTACAGCTCCTTCTCACCCTGATCCTTGCCTTGGTCCTATGACTCAATCTGACCAAGTGTATACAAGAAGCACCATCCAGGTAGCTGATTTATGTCTGGTAATACTCCCTCTTGATATCTAGCTATTATTCACAAAAGAAAATCCTGCTAGAGATCAGAAAGGGAAGTCATGGGCACTCTGGAGGACAGTCCACCACATACAGGGTACCATGAGGAGAGGACTTGGGTACCCAGTGAGGTCCCAGCAGAGCATAGCCACGTCAGTCGAGAAAGACTCACTGTTATCATAAGCCACCAGGATTTGGAGTGGTCCGTTACATGGCAATGGGTACCTAAAAGTGCATGGTACTCAGTGAATTCATAGCATTTCCTAATTATTTCACTGATCAATACCTCCCCAAGAAGGTAGGCAAGGAAAGAGAAAAGAAGTAAAGTTGAAATAAATCTGTTTGGAAACAACATTCTAACAGAAAATGAAGGTTTGATTACTTCAGAGGAATCTTTTTGAAAACAGCACACGTAACCTCCAGTGTGCTATGCCAGTTCTGACCTTATTAGCAAGCAAAATTGGTCAGCTTCTTTCATGTGGAGTCAGTGCTTTACAAAATATCAGCCCTGGCCTTTGAGAAAATAGCCACTTATCTTCCCGGATGGGGCACAAAGTCACATGCTCAAATGCAAAGGAGCACAGGATAGGGACTATATAAGGCCCCTCCATGAAGGTTCCTTCTGCTCCCAGTCGTCAACCTGAGACACACTTCTCTCACAGGACAATGCTCACCTTTATTCAGAAGACAACCAACTTTGTATATAATTACAATCCAATTTCATATTTCTATAGCACTATGGACCAAAGATAGTGCTTAAAAACTTAAATACTGGACAGGCGTCGTTGTACATGCCTTTAATCCCAGCACCCTGGAGGCAGAAGTGGTTGGACAACCGTGAGTGTACAGTAAAGCCAACCTGGTCTATATAGTGAGTTTCAGGCCAGCCAGGGTTATAAGTGAGACCCTGTCTCCAAATTAAAAACAAAAATTAAATAATAGCAAGTACATTAAGATTTTTTAAAAGGTAAATTTAATTACCTAAATAAGTATATGTAAAAATTAAGCACACCTTTAAAAAAAACCATTTTTTTCTTTCTAAAGACTTGTTATAAAGAATATATACTTGTTATAAAGATTTATATACTCTTGATTACTATATATTTTAACCTAATCACAAGAAAATAGTTCACATTTGTGGATTTAAATTTGATAAACTCCTATCAAAAAGAAGGGCTGAGGGTGGAGCTCAGTGATAGGCACTGGCCTAGAACACACAAAGCCCTTGTCAACCTACAGGACCAAGGGGAGAAAGGAAAGAAGGGAGAGAAGGAGGCAGGGAAAATACCCCAGAACATGTTTTTAAACAAGCAAGAATATTATGAGAATAAAATGTAATGACATAATACAACTATTTAAATCCAGTCAACACCTTTAATTGCTTAGGCTTTATCAGATGAAGCAGTCAGAATGAGACTTACAGTGCTGTGTTTAAATTGGAACTTCGAACTGGAAATCATGAACATCTTAGACATCAGCCTATGCCAGCCCCTAGGTCTTCCCTGCAAGTTTTCAGCTGAGTCTAATACTATGAAGAGCAGTGTACCTTCATTGGCCGCCTGTATTTCCGGCAGGCCGTGACGTGTGCAACGACACTGGCATGCGTCTCTTTGCTGACATTGATTCCATTAACTTTGATAATACACTGTCCAGGGTGAAGGCCAGCTGCTGCAGCCACGGTGCCTTTAGATAGAAATGGGGAGAATTGCCAAAAAGTGTAAGAAATAGATTTCACCTGTGTCATACACAGAACAATGAAAGCAATTCTAAAATAGAGCAAATGCCTAACTGGTGTGTTCCTGATAAGTCTGGATCAGAGAGCAACATGCTTTCACTCATTCTCCATCACTCATCATCCAAACTGTGATTAACAGAATATTCCCCCGCCTCCATAAGAATTATTTTGAAAGAATATTGCAAAGTGACCTTTACAATGCTAACCAGTTATTTCCCTTTCAAATGTCTAGTCAATCTAATTTTCTAAATTTAGATAGTTGAAAAATGTGAACTCCAGAAACAAGCTCTATTTTGTTTTTAAAAATCCTAAAATATTGAAATATTGTTTTAGTTTTCCAAATGCCAACAGTTTAATATGTATATAAAAAAATTTTCAAAAACAATTTTTTTTTGTCTTTTTGAGACTGGGCCTCCCTGTAGCCCCATTTGGCCTGAAACTTGCTATGTAGACCAGGTTGACCTTCAACTCACAGATTTACCTACCTCTGCCTTCTGAGTGTTGGGATTAAAGGTGTGCCTCATCATGCCTTCATTTTTAAAATGTTTATGTTATTTTATTTTTTGAATGTGTATATAGGTCTGTATGTTCATGTGGGCTTGGATATACATGTGTGTGTTTGTGTGTGTGTTTGTGTGCATACCATGTATATGTGTGTACCAAGACCAGAGGTCAACACTGGGAGTGTTCTTAGAGTACGTTCTACCTTGGTTTTTGAGCCAGGCTCTTCCACTGAACTTGGTGCTAGCTAACTGGCTAGACTGGCTGTCCAGCAGCCCTAGGAATCCTCCTGTCTCTGCCTCTCCAGTGCTAGGATTAAAGTTGGGTACTTCTGTACTGGCTCTTTTACGTGAATGCTGAAGATTCAAACTCAGGTTCAGCAGATAATGCAAGCACTTTGCCAACTGAACAATATCTCTAGTTCTAAAAAAGCATTCTTAAAAAAAAAAATCAAGTCAATTAGCAACTCTGAGCAGAAAGAAGGAATGTAGTAGGTGTCAATTGTCCAGTCACTTGCTTGGCTTTGGCATAGATTAAAATTCATAAATGGAATCTCTTATCCAGTGGTTTATGATTTTTCAACTGCTGATATTAAATAGTTGGAGCAAATCAACATCAAACGAAGTACCATTAATAAACTATATAGAGAAGTGTATATATTTATATAATATACATCATACCAGTGTCTTTATAATATACCATATAGTAAAAAGAAATTCAACTGCAAGCAATTCACACACAAAGAAATATAATCATTAAACACTTAAAAATTTTTTAAGTAATGAGTTAATCTATTTTTTTATTTTATGTGTATGAGTGTTAGCCACCGTGGGTGCTGGGAACCAAACCTGAGTCCTCTGCAGAAGCAGCCATTGCTCTTAACCACTGAGTCATCTCTCCAGCCCCTTAAAAATTGTTATACATAAGAATATACCTTTTCAGGGGTTAGAGAGATGACTGAGTGGTTAAGAGCACTGACTGATCTTGCAGAGGACCCAAGTTTGATTCCCAGCACCCACATGGTGGCTAACAACAATCCTTAACTCCAGTTTCAGGGGATTAGACACCTTCTTCTGACCACCACAGGCACTGAGTGACATGGGTGCACTTATACACATGCAGGTAATACAATTATGTACATAAAATAAAAATAATAAACTAAAAGAAAAAAGAAAAAAAAACAAGAAAAAATAATAAACTATTAAAAAATAAAATAAAAAGGAATATACCTTTTCTTTTCTGCCCAGTCCCCTCTAACACTCACTCCTAGAAATAAGAAGTGGTTTTCCTACATTGAACTGAGTCTAGGGGAGGGAACAACATTTTAGCAGAGAGCAAGACTTTGTGTCAAGAAACTACCTGGCATCCAGGGACATACAAGAAGTTGTGTTGGTGCAAGCTTATAGTTGGTGGGGGGAGTGTGACTAAGAATCAGTGGGGGGTGGGGTGGGAATGAGACAGACTGGAGAACAGAGCAAAGCCCTACTGGGGAATTCTAGCTTCCTGGTGGGAAGTCCTTGGAGTTTGAATCTTCCTTAGCCTGTGGGATGTTGAGGTCCACATGTCTGAGAGTCTCAGTCTGTGAGGTAAGAAAAATGTCTTCCTTGTGAGACATGAGGCAAGTTTGAGAAGAAGAAAGGGCTAGCAGATCAGAAACACGTAAAAAGATTGCTGAGTAATGATATGGACCCAGGGACGGGAAGACAGAGAGCCAGGAGGCTCCGATTCCATGACTATGGCAGATGTTGTATTGTTTGCTTTGTTTTCTGTTGTGTTGTGCTGTTCCGTTTTGTTTTGGTTTTCCCCACCTATTCTAGAGAGAGAGCTAAGAACATGTTTAAGGTTGATCCAAGACTAAACTATGGCCCAGAAACAGCTGAGGATGAAGGTAAGAGGAACTCAAAGATGCTGGTAAGATTGACTGCAGTGACCTTTTTTATGGTGTAATTTGTGTGAAAAGGAACCACACCTGTAAAAAAAATTCAGAGAAGGAAGGCACAGGAGTCCTATTGTCTTAAGTTTCAAAAACAACACACACACACACACACACACACACACACACACACTTGAGACCAAGGCAGCCATTTCAAAGCCAGTGGTGGGGAAGAGGCACAGCTCCATGCACTCAGGATGCAATGGGGCGAGCTTCTTTTAGAGCTTTGTGAGTATAATAGAGGTATTTGATGCCTCAGTATCCTATTTCTCTTTGACAGTGTGTAATGAGCTATTGGAAAAGCTTTAACTGTTTATCCATCCGTTGTAAAAGGCTAAGTGAAAAGATAAGTTTTTGAAATAAGATTTATTTTTTAAACTATATGCATATTGGTTAATCTTACAATCTAAATCTAATTTTGATGGCAACACTCTTAAAATGTTCCTGCCTAATGTTTGAGTGATTATATAAGATGTTTCATATTTCTTAGTGTTAAAAAGCAGATCTCAGGGGCTGGAGAGATGGCTCAGGGGTTAGGAGTGCTGGTTGCCCTTTCAGAGGACCCGCCCGATTCCTAATACCCACATGACAGCTAACAATAGTCCATAACTCTAGTTCCAGAGACTCCAACACCCTCTTCTGACATCCCTGGGTACGCTTACATACATAAAGGCAAAACTTTCATACACATAAAATAAAATAAAATAATAAATAAAATAAAATAAAATAAAGCAGATCTCTCTCCATAGTAGATAAATAGGGGCATCTGCTCACAAAGACCCTTCTTGCTCCAGCAAGCTACTTATTATGTACAGCAGTGTGAAAAATATTATCTTCAATTATTACTAGTGTGAGTGTGAGTTAAAATACATACACATGAGGTTTTAATAATCTATTTGCCTTTCAAACAAAATAAAATGTAAACAGGCTTAATTTAAAATGAATTTTATGATGAGATTTATTCAGAAGTCAAAACAATAGTTAAAGGGAGTATACAACAACACATTATCAAGTCCATAGGTCTTTGCAAAGTCTAAAAACTCACCTTTTTTAGTCACTAGAAAAAAAAAAAAAAAACCTTCAACATTTCTTGAGAAAAAATACAGAGACAACCTTAACATCATCCTTCGTTAAACTGATTTCTGTAGGAAAAATATACCTGAAGGTATGGACTCTTGAATCAAACTTGAAGCAACGACAAATATGCTTCATAATTTTTAGGGTTTTCCTCTTTGAGTATTTATTTATTGTGTATGTGTGTGAGAGAGTGTAAATGTGTGCATATGCACGCATCCATGCATGTGCGCATGGAGACTGGAGGTTAACACCAGGCGTCTCCCTCCATCACTCTCCACCTCACTTTTTGAGACATCGTCTCTCACTGAACCTGGAACTCACAGACTGATTACACTGGATGGCCAGCAAGTCCAAAGGATTCTCCTGTCTCTGCCTCCAAAGTGCTGGGATAACAGGCAGGTGCTGACTCTCTAGGCTTTTTATGTGGGTGTTGAGGATTGAACTCACATCCTCATGTTTACAAGACAAGTATTTTATCCACTGATCCATCTCCCTAGCCTCCTCTCTTCATATTTTTCGAGAAAGAGAAAAGGTCTCTGAAGCTCAAGCTAGCCCAAAATTTGAAGAGCTTTGGCTTTCTGAATGCTGGAAACGGAGATGTGAGTCATAACACACAACTACAATTTTTAAGTTTTCTTTTTTTTTTTTTTCAAACATACTGATTCCAGAATGTACTTTGACTGAGTTAATAAAGTGAAAGGAGAAAATTCTATGATCATGCCTATTTTATTTCATTTTAAAATATTTTATATATTATTTTTATTTTATGTATATGAGTGTACCGCCTGCTTGTATGTAAGTGCACCCATACTGTATAATGCCCGTGCAAGTCAGGAGAGAGCATCGGATCCCCAGGAACTAGAGTTATAGATGGTTGTTAGCTGCCATGTTGGTGCTGGGAATCAACCCTGAGCTCCTGACCACTGAGCCGTCTTTCCAGCCCAATCACACCTCATTTAAACATAGTCCTTTTTGACAGGGCACAGGCAAAGCACACCAGTATGTAGTTTACCATGCATGGGACTTTCTTACCTCTTCCTACTGCATGCACCACAGAAGGTCCGAAGCCTCGGATCTGGAAACCAAGCCCATCTGCTGAATCTGGGATTTTCACTGTCCTAAAATTAATCAGAAAATGAGGCAAGACAAATTTGAAATGCCACAGTTGGATCAAATGATGGTCAAATGATACCTTTGCTCATTCTTGAAATACATACGGACTGGGATATTAGGCAGGAGGTTTGTTCTGGGAGGAACTGACCAACAAATGCCCCAAAATAGGACATAAAGAAAAATCAATAGCAGTGGTCACTCCAGCCCTCAAGCAGGACGTAAAGATAATGATGGTGCTGGACTCCAGATGGGCCAGCTCAAGGCCCCCAGGGCAGACGGTAAAGAGCAATAGGTGGTAGTGGCCTATTCTAGTTAAGTCAGCTGAGACCAATCTCAGGACTTCCTCATTAGGGAAGCATGTCCAGGGCTGTTATCCTTTCCCTAGAAGTGCCTGCTGTGGGGGAGTACAGGAGAGGGTATAACTTGGGAAAGAGCTTCCATCTTTCCAGGACCCTTGCTGCTCTGCTCACCTCATCCTGCTCTTTAGAAAAAGAGCTTATTCTTGCATCCCTGCTTGCTCTAATTAAACTCTTCACTACTTGACTTTTCTAGTGTTCCATCAGAATTTTTCTGTGTCCAGAGCATAAGAACTGAGACTGTTGCTGAAATCAAGACCAGAGGAAACTGGGGAAGGTCTACCAGAAAAGTAACACTAGTAAGAAAGCCTTACAGAGAGCAAGGTCTCTTCCACCACCAAGCACATAACAAGGATGTAATACAGAGGCACCTTATAGGACAGATCCTGGGAGAGTCATAGGCACTGGAGACAGCTAACATATGTAAGCCTCTCTTTTGTTGCTTTGTAACTAGGTACATTGGATTTGGATAAGCTCCTAAATTCTCTAGCAGAGACTGTGTCACAGAAATTGTCACAGCATGATATTATTGTTAAAATTAAATTTGGGGATGTTGATGAAGTCACCATTGGTTAACTGCCCTGAATGGTGATAAATACTTAATAGATACTTAGTAATATAGAGGCTTCCCTCATTAGTTTAATGTTACAAAAAAGAAATGGGTACCTTGAGAAATTTCATTATAAAGAATACTATTAACTTCTACTGATTAGAAATTTCATCAAAGAACAACAACACAAGTTATAACGGACGGTGCTGTCAAACACTATATAGGAATGACTTAATATGAGCAACTTTAATATTTGTGCCATGCATTTCTGAAAGAATAATAGATCAAAAGGTAAACCTGAATAAGTAAAGAAAGTGCCGCCAGTGAGCCCACACAGAAGAACACAGAGGGAAGGAGAACATGAGTCAGCCATCACGGCAAACCAGAGAGGGAGCTCAGCTTGTCACAAAGATATGAGACACTCAGCAGAAGAAAGTCAGAAATCAGATAGCAGCCTTGAAGAGCAGATAATCCTTGCTAGCATAGAACATGGCCACTGTAAAAATGAGTATCAAAAACTTCAGTAGAGAACAACACCAAATGAACACACAGCAATACATTTTGAAGGAATGCACACCATGCCCAAGAAACAACAGTGTTTTTCAGAAGATGAGTTAATCAGGAAATAAGTATCAGTGACCCTTCAAGGATATGTTGGAGGGAGCTGAAGAAAGACTGTGTACCTAGAACACTCCAAAAGCCACAGGCTGCATTCAGGCCTGAAGGCAGACTGCAACGTCCCATGTAACTCAGGCAGGTCTACAATGATAAAAATGCAAATTGGCTGTCCAGGGGAAACTTTAAAGTATTATTACAAATGAGGTTATATACCACAGAGTGATTTGAATATGTGTAGGACAGGGGTCAGAGAACCAATACATCTTTAATTGAATACTTTCTGGTGTGCAAGGCTGTATCCACTTCCTTGGAACTGCATATCATAGTATCTATCAAAGACACATGATGAGTTTTCATTTAAATGAAAATGAATGAAATCTAAGACAAAAAAAGAGAATAAATACACATTCTTGTGAGCCTGAAACAAAGAATCATCCTGAGCCAGGTGTGGTGGCACATGCATTTAATCTTGGCACGTGGGAGGGACTGGCAGGTGGAGCTCTGTGAGATCAAGGCTAGCCTGATCTACATAGTGAGTTCCAGGCCAGCTGGGGCTACCAGGAGACCCTGTCTTAAAAAAAAAAAAAAAAAAAGTAATATCACAATTTGTAAAAAAAAAAGAAAAAAGTGTGAAAAAAAAAAAAAAAAAAAAAAAAATTTTTAAAAAAAAAAAAAAAAAAAGTAACAAATAAAAGAGGCATCTTGCTTCTACGAACTGTGAATGAAAACTGACTTAGGCTGAACTAGCAGCATCCACGCTGAGCAGGATGATTCACAATTGCCCTCAGAGTCTTCATAATTCCTAACAGCTTCAGTCCACCCTGAAAGAGATTTTCTGCTGATCTAATATTGCTATATGAGGTTGACTTCTCTTCAGGAAGACTGTTCTGTTTTTCTTAGTAAAATTTGTACACAGCACCATGAGGTCCATTTTAGGGAAAAATTTGGAACTCTCTTAATAAACTGATCTTTAGAGAACATGTTTCTCTGGTGGAAAAACCACACTGCCAATTAAAATAAGGAACTTATACAAGAGGAATGTTCTATTTCTGGTAGAAAATAAGTATGTGAAATTATCTACTACAAGGCCTTTTGGAAAAATTCCTTGATGTTATCAAGTGTAAAATAGAGTTCGAATCAAAAGAAAACCCTGCTCAGTATTTACTTCTCATATTTTGTCGTCTTCCTTCCGCCAGGATACTTTTTAAACTATAAGGGGCTATTTTAAGATACGATGAATGACCCAACAAAACTTCCACCATAGAGTAGCTCCCCTGTGCCTGATCTGCAGATGGCCACTAGATGGCCTTGGGAGCCTGAGGTAGAAGAAGGTCACCACTGATTAAGACAAAATGGGTTGACAAAGCAGTGCTCGCTTTCATGTAACATCACTGGTGAGTACCGAACACTTCACTAACTGTCTATAAACCAGGACTTACAATGCCCACAACTTCTGTGGCCAAGCACCCTCGTGCCACCTCACGGAGGGGGACATGGAAATGACCATTTTACTGCCTAGTGGAAGAAGGATGCCTTGAACCTCAGGTGGCAGACATTGTACAATAACACTGGGAAGGGTCAGAAGACACAGTGCCCAACTCTGAAGACTGGGGATTTGCTCCCTTGTTTAATCTTGATATTTTTGGCCTGATGGTGTTCTAACTGTTAAAATGTCTTTATAGGCTGACAAAAAGTTGTGGAGTTAAATAAGTTGGTCATAGAGGACACTTACATTTACTAATGACTGCTCTGAATACCACTGCTTTCCTTCCTAGGGAACTTTTCCCTTTCAAATGCCCTAATGTGTCAGGAGATAGGCAACTGGGATACCTTCATCCTAGGCAGGGATGGATAAAGAGGGAATAATGAAATTTAATTATGTGTAGAGAGAAGACAGTGTTGTGGCTCTTTGCTGCCCTCTAGCTCAGCGTTTCCAAATTAGTTTCAATATTAATGAGTCATACTCATTCTTTCAGGCCACGTAGTAAACCTGTTGGTAGGAGCTAAGGCATCCATGGACCTTATTGATTTGGCATGCCACCAAGAGATGTACAAGGCAGAATCTAGCCCTTTGCACTGCACTTGGACTCAAAATAAACCATACATGGTGCATCTAGCCAGTCATGAATGCCTGTGTATTATATAAGATTTTATACATAAAATATTTGTAAAGACAGGAAGAATATTTCAGATTGCTGGAATATTTTTCATAAGTATCTAAAATAAGCAATCTTGTTTTTGATGTGACAGCCATCATTTTTCTTAAAATTAATCAAGTTTCTCATCATAATTGACAAGTGATATAAATTTTAAATAGTAATTCTGATATAGCAGGTACATCCACACATTCTGGTAAATATTTATAGACATATTATCTCATTTAGACAATGAAATTATTCATGAAAAATCTGACTAAAGAGTATTAGAAGGCTGATGGAAATGGATTACAGAAGAGCCAATGAACTGCAAGTACATCACATGTTTTAACTACTGTTAAGCTGTATGCAGAGTGCAGAACTGCTCCGAATGTGTCTGGTTGTAAACGTGATGATCTAGACTCAGAAAAACAAAAACAAAACTGAATTGAATTGCAAAACCGTAATGGCTATTTATGTGGTAAGATTAGAAGAAAAATGTCTTCATCTAGAAAAATATGTCCTCTGAAATTTACATAATAGACATTGTTATGGGTCAGACATGAAGTGCTCCCCCACAAAGTTCATGTGTTGAAGGGTCTCCAGCTGGTGCATTATTTAGAGATGACTGAGCATGACAGCACTAACATCATCAGTGGACTAACTCATGGATGAGTTCATAGATGGGCTATTAGGGGTTGCTGCACAGTTGGAAGCAATGGGTCCCTGGAAGCGCGCCTTTGAAGGATGCGTCTTGTCTAGGGGCCTTTCCCTGCTCCCTCTCTCTGCTTCCTGAGCATCACTGAGTGAGCAGTTTGCAACACCATCTCCTCCTGTAGGAATGCAACACCATTTCAAACCTATCATGACGGATTGAAGCTTCTGCAACCGGAGGAAGTCAAAATAAAGCTCCATTCTTTTAAGTTATCTCAGATATTCTGTCATAATCATGAAAGGCTAGCACAAACATGAACATTTTTATAATCTTAGGTAGCTAGATGATAGAGAGATTGAGTTTTCTATTTGATTTTGCTTTACTAAGTGTGCATATTCCTTGAGCATCATGTCATTTAGACTTGATCTCATATCATATGAGCACTGCATTATAGATTGTGTCTAATCAGATTATAGCACCAAAAATTTTATAGCTAACATGGAGCTCTCTATTCTTCATTTTCAAGTGTTTTGCTAGATTATTTTTTCACTCAGTCAAAGTCAACCCAGAATAAGAAAATCTGGACAGTAAAACGAGAACGATTGCTGCTGACACCATGTGATTCAGGAGCAAGCATTTATCACGATAAGCAACACAACTTTCCCGATCCATCACTCTGAAGAGGCCAAAATGTTCTAAGATAGGGAACCAGAGCACCAGAGCAATAAATAGTTACTTGGTAGCTAGCTTTTCTATTTTACTCATTCATGCATGATTTATTTATTTGTTCATTTATTTATTACTTTATGTGTATGAGTGTAATTCCCTGTATGTATGTAAGTGCACTCACAGAGGTCAGAGAAGGGGGTTAGATCCCCTGGAACTAGAGTTACAGATGTTTGTTAGCTGCCATGTGAGTGCTGGGAACTGAACCTGGGTCCTCTGCAAGAGCAGCCAGTGTTATTAACCACCGAGTCATCTCTCCAGCCCCCAAGTGTCATTTTTTTTAATGCCACAAAAATCATACAACTTACTCCCTTGGCTTTGTGCTCACGAGAACTCTCAGAGGCTTTCTGCTGTTTAAGCAGGATTTCAGGAAACAATCCACTTCATTGAAAGGTCTCATAAAAACCAGGTCACCATTAATAGCAAAAATCTTCTTCCCAACTTCCATGCCAGCCATCTAAGGGAGAAGTGGTGAGAATAAAGCCTTTAAGTTTTCACAAAACTCAAATCTGGGAAGGGTCATCAGTTATAGATCTGGCTATTTTGAAAACACATGAACAATAGTTTCATAAATTCAAATAACAAAACTGTGGATGAGCTAACACTTGTCATTCTCTTTGGCTTCATTACAACTTTGATGGCACAGCTTCGCAGAAATTCTCCCCACCTTTCTCTTTGAGACTGCGCTCACCCTTGACCTCTCCTTTAAAAACGGTTATCCTTTAAAGTAGAATCGAACTCCAGTTTAATTACTTTTACTTTATTTTCTATCATCTATCTATCTATCTATCTATCTATCATCTATCAATCACCTATCTATCATCTATCTATCTATCTATCTATCATCTGTCTATCAACCTAATCATCTATCATCTGTTGTCTATCATCTATACCTATCAATCTATCATCTATTATCTGTCATCTATCTATCTATCTATCTATCTATCTATCTATCTATCTATCTATCTATCTACCTATCTATGTATCTATATTTAACTCAGAGAATTTCAAGCCCTGAATATATGAATATATTGATGATATCCGATGTGTATCTCCACCCCATGTGAGAATGAGTGTGTCTGGTACAACAAGTAGATAAAGACTGGCCTGGAGTGAGTCCAAACAAGAGCAGTCCAGCAAGCACAGAAGTGTCCCCAGTACAACAGGGACAAGGAAGACACATCGCCCCTCCACTCAGCCCAGATGTTCTTAACCTTCCTGGCCTCCTGTAAACTCCCTGATGTTTTGGAAAGCAGCTACCTAAGGAGACAGCTTCTCATCCATGGAAAAGTCAGATGAAAGTCCAGCAAGCACAGAAGTGTCCTCAGTACAACAGGGACAAGGAAGACACATCGCCCCTCCACTCAGCCCAGATGTTCTTAACCTTCCTGGCCTCCTGTAAACTCCCTGATGTTTTGGAAAGCAGCTACCTAAGGAGACAGCTTCTCATCCATGGAAAAGTCAGATGAAGCTGGGCCCTGGGGGCATCCTCTGAAAATGCCTGAGAGAAACATCTCATACAGAGTTATTAACTCTAATCACTTGATGGTCATATCCTCTAACAGGGTACAAATCAACCAGAGGTAACTTAATTGAAGTTGGTGTGGTAAGCATGAAGCTTTGTCTTGCATGAATTTGTTTTGGGATTAAAAAGGCCTTTAGCAATAGCATATATGTTATGGTTGACTTTAGCAAACAGCTTCAAATTAAAAGTTCTAGATCTACCATTTGTTACATTCTTTATTAAAGATCTGCGTATTGAGAGGTTTGCTTAAGGATTAAGTATCCTGCAAATTAGGTAATAAGGTAGGGAGACTTTAAGTCTGATATACTGTGACACAACACTAGAAAATAGGCTCCAGGAAGTTGTGTGTGGGGTGTGTGTGTGTGTGTGTGTGTGTGTGTGTGTGTGTGTGTGTGTGTGTGTGTGTGTGTGTGTGTGTGTGTGTGTGTGTGTGTGTTTGCGATTTGTGTATGGGTGTTCATGTATGTGGAGGCTAGAAGGCTACTTTGGTTGTTGTTCCTCAGGTGATATCCACCTTGATTTTTGAGACAGGGTCTCTTACTAGCCTAATAGTCACCATGCATACTAGGATGGCTGGCCTAGAACCCCAGAAATCCACTTTCCTCAACCTCCTCATCATGGGGTTAAAAGCATACATCATCATATTTGCTTTATTTTGTTTTCTTCAAATGGTTTTTGGGGATCAAATTCAGGTCCTTATGCTTGACAGCAATAACTTTAAGCATTGAACTATACTATCATCCCAACCCAAGGCAAGAAATTTTGTCTATTTTGAACATGGCTACACCCCTAGACTCTAGAGTGTTGCCTAACATGTCTTAGATATCAACTGAGAATTTCTCAGTGAAGGATGATCAGAAGAGAGTGAGAGAATGTCAAGCAGCGTTAACCAATGAGAAAGTCAAAGTGCTCGCTTTCCTGATGGAAGGGGTACATAGAAAAGACCGTGAAGGAAGAAGGTGGAAAGCACTGCCCTTGACTGAAGAGAGGGAACATCTGACACACAGCACAGAGCTCTAGGTTGGAATCCACGGTTAGAAAGGTCGTAGGAATGCAGAATGTGCCACTCGGCCTCTGAGGAACTTGGGAAATTCAGAGATGGAGATTTCTGGAACACCACACCTCCCACCCCAAGCCATCATTGAAAAAGGCTCAGCTGCCACAGATCCCAAGGCTACATGGTAGAACTTCAGAGTAAGATAATTCAGAAGCACTGTCTCGGTGTTGATTTCAGTTTGCCTTTTCATATTTGTACAGCATGAAAACACATTTGAATAAAAATGCTAATTTACATTACCTCAGCATTAGACCCTTTTTCTACTAACTTTATTATTGGAACTTTATTTCTGTCTTCTAGCCCGAAGCCATAGCTGCCTTCATTAAATTTAATCTGAAATATAAAATATTGATATTATTGATAAGGAACAAGAAAAATGTTACAAATAAAATAAAATGAAACCATCAAACATATTGCTACAGTCCCCTGCTAATGTCTTAGCAAGAATAAAACCTATACAACACAGGCATCAACTTACCAATAGTGATTTAGCTATGACATTTTCTACAACTTTTAAATCATGTTTCATAAGCCGGTGTTTTGTGTCTGATCCTTCCATTTCCTCATCCGCAAAAAAACGGAAAAGTAGGGGCTCATCTTTGAATTCACTTTTTTCAAGAACTATAGAAACAGAGAGAGAGAGTCAAATGATTTCAGTAGATCAAAAAACTAAGCTCACTTCCCATACCAATATAAATGCAATAAATACCTGCCAACCATAACCTCAACTTTTGACTACTAGGACAAAGTTATATTCATAAATGTCCCTCAAATTATTTTGTATCTTTCTCTATAACTTCATGCCTATGTTTCCATTAAATTACTATTATCTAAAGCGTTTTGCATTTTAAAATAAGTAATATATTTCCAATGTTAGCTTTTTGTGCTCAATTAATTCTTTCATTATCCAAATTAAAACCTAAATTTAAGATAGAAAATATAATGAATCCAAAACTGCATACGGTCCAAACATGTAAATGGCATTTTCCATGATCAAGAAACATTTTAGTATGTTTTAGCACCCTACATCTTTATGAGAAAATCCAGCTGTGTTGCATATGACCTTCGGTGTGTGAGCAATTCCCACTGGGGTTACATTGTTCCTATACTTCAAACCAGAAATATGTCTTCTGGGTGAAATACGATGTTACTTTCCATGACTTGCTAGTTTAGTTCTCCTTGGTTCCAAAGCAATATTCTAATATCCTTATTTCTACAAAGTTTTTCCCCATTTTATCTGAATATTAATATTTTCCCCATAGTTTCTGAGATATCTGCCATAACTTGGTGACATACGGTATATGTTTTATTAGCTTTGTTTAAACTAAGGGTAAATACGGATAGTAAGAATGTCTCTTGAATAAAATCTCTACAACCGTCAAAATGCTTTCAAAGAGAAATCTGTTTCTCATTCCTGGTCTTTACTGTCTTGAAGTTACTTGTTGGGATGGGATGATTCATAGTAATGGGAAGACTGTGGTCCCAGAGCACTTAAACTGTGAAGCATCAGTCTAGGTCTAGTACCAATTTTAAGGGTAAAAATAAAAAAGTTTATTTAAACTCTCTGGTTTAGTTTTTCATCATCAAAACGAGAGCAAAACTCTTCATACAGTTGCCTTCAATAAAATAAGTACTGCGTGTAAATAATGTGGCACACGTGAAGCAAGCCAAAGAGGCAACTATTTTATTTCATTACTTTTACAGAGTTCCAACAAATAGTTATTGACCAAATAGGTGCATGGATTGGTCTTTAGATGGAAGACTACCTGGCAACATGTAACATGAAACTATCAACTGTATACAGTAAAAGGTAATAAAAGCCACAGCGGACAACAGAAAGGAGAAATATTTTGGACTGAGTCCCATTTTGCCCCCACAACCTAAGAAGCTTCCCAAAGACCACACGATGTTTCTGCTACAACTGCTTTTGCTCCACCAAACAGCTGGTCCAAAGGGGCAAGAGAAGCATCAAACCAGGCAGGAGCCAAGCTTAATTTGCTTTAAGTTGACAGACTTCTATAGGCATAATTTTTGTTGTGACTCAGTATTTTACAACAAATATTTAGATCAAATTATTGCTTGCTGTTGCTTTATGCTAAAGAAAAAAATAAATGAGAGGTTTTCAATTTGATGTTACAGTTTTAATTTCCTAAAATGTCACAGTCATTTCCATTTCATAGTTGGCTCTTCAGGGACCAATGATTCTCTAACCAGTGATCTCGACAGAATGAAACACAACAGAATTCTCCAAGAAGCACATGACAACCAAGGCTGTTCTCAATGCTGTTGTAACTGGCCCTGCTCTCCTTCTTTACATGGGTGTTAATAACCTTGACACTAACCAACAAGTGGAAACAAGCGCTATCAAATATACGTCTAGAAGGATGTTGCCTTAGTAACAATTGGAAAGAGAATGCTTGGTTTCTTGATTCTGTAAGATGACATGGATACAGAGGGAAAACTCTCATTACGTTAATGTAGAAATTTTTAAAACTCTTGTTTGATGACTTCTTTAAAGTTATCATGCAAGAAAACTAATCTCTAATAAACTAAATAAAAATATATACTTTCAAAGGTTTAGCTCTCTAAGGTAATTTTAAGTGTATTTTCCTAAAATGAACAATAAACATTAAACCATACACGCTCTCATTTGATCATTCCAGTGTATACTGCCATTCAAACAAAATCATGAGTTGAATCTGAAATCAGTTTAACAGATAAATGAGATTTTTAAAAAAGAACAAAACTTCCAATTTAAGACATCACTCTCCTCAAATTAGCACAGCCTAGAAAAGTAAGGGAGAAGTCAGAGGAACTGGTAGATAACAGCAATTTGACATAGGAATGGCACCATCGGTGAGATCCACCGCATGCATTGACTCATCAAGAACACACGGCCAGACCCGACAATCTTGCTGCTTGTCTTGACCTTAGTGGAGCACCGTGATAGCCCCAATGTCCCAAGGAAAAATAGGAAAATGAAAACAGTCTGTAAAATCGAAAGGAAGCAATCCCTACCGTGGTGCATAAATCCATTGTCGCAGAGTCCAACTGCAAATATCATTGCCTCTTCTCTGGTACGGCAATCACCCTGTTAGCCAAAAACAAAAACAAAAACAAAAAATCATAGTGCATGTTAATAAGCAATCAGAGGCTTTATGGGACCTACTTTATAGCCTAAGAAGCATTTTCTCATACATTGTGTCATTTTTTTCTAGTCCCTTCCTTAGCACTTATGGGCTCTACCAAATTTGTTCTCAGTTCTATTTCATTTCTGTTTCCAGCATTCTAAGATGATGGTTTTCATTCCTTATCTAAATTGCCATAATTTTCTGGACTCATTCTAACACAAGCTATTATTGAATCCAATTTAATAATTTGAATTTCAATTTCCAACATTTTAAAGTGTTTTTTTTTAATACTCAAAGCTTTAATGATAATAAAAAATACTCAACTGGGCTTTCAAGGAGATCATCCAGTCTTAGATTTTTCCTCTCCAGCTTCGTTTTCCAAAGTTTCAAGCCTGTTCCTTTCCCTCTAGTCAATCTTGTGTCTTTATGTGTCTGAACTCCATCAGTTTCAGTCCCACATTCATTAGTGCCACTACCAGGACTTACAGTGCCATGTCTATCTGCCTGTCTATGAAGAACCAAGACCAGCTTCACCTCACGCTATGGCAGCTTGTTTAACTTGTTTAACCTTGTCAACTATAGAAGCATACCAAAGGTACCAACTCTCTACCTTCAGATGAGAGATCAGGTCCTCTTCAAAAATCTAGGTGATTTGCAAGTTTTATGCAATTGTTCAAAAGATATTTATTCTTTTTCTAAATACCATACCAACTGTAAGATATCATACATTAAATCTCTCAAATAAAGTATGCTTTGCTGTTTTCCAATAATTTCAATACTGTAAAGGATTCAATCACTTAAAAAGTGGCACATAGTTAGTCATCATTATCCAATTCCATGAAGATACCCAATCCACTAGATAGACTCAGGGAACTAGGCCCATAGGAAAAGACCCTGAGCCCAGCTAGAAGACCCAGGAAAGACCTCTTTGGGAGATAGAACAGCAACCCCGTGAAGGCAAGAATCATATCTGCTATCTGTCTAGTTGCTCTAATTTAGTGATTACTTTAAATGTTAAAATTTTACTGAACACTTCGGTTGTTTTATTTGATTTTTTAGATGTTATATTTGCCAGCCTAATATGATATTGAAAGGAAAATGTAAAAATAAAATCTTGAATATTGTGATGTCCCTATATCTTTTTAAAATTCTTTAGGGGCCACTTAGATCTAGGGAGCACTAAAGAAAGGGACAAGAAAAACTGCGTGGCGTTGCAAGGCATTGTTTAAAAAGTATGCACGATGCATGTTTCTTAAACACAATTAAACAAATCATGTTTTAGAAATGTATTAATACACATATCCAGTAAAGAGTTAAATTCATAGAATAAGTTCTGTATTACAAACCATTATAATGAAGACACTATGCTAGCAAGTGAGAGTGCATTCAGAAGAAAACAAAAGTCATTCCATTTTCTCTGATGATGTCACTCATATTTTGCAGAAATCCACAGGACCCAACTGTACTCCAAACAACACAAGGGCTGTTGTACTGCAGTCGATGCTTTACTCCACCCAGTGAAGCTGTCCTAGTCCACTCAGTCAACACTGATCAGTATGAGAAATTATGTCGTTTTTGAATCATGTTGGAAAAGGAACCTTACTGTAAGTCTCTTCTTCCCATTAGACTAAGCAATGTGGTTTGCTCTCTTGTCATCCCATCCCTATGTCGTCCTCTTCCAATGCAGCCCATGCTGTTCTAATTTGAAGCTCAGCAATAAGAGCTGAAATGTCTGGCTTAAATTTGGATGTTTCCCACTGTCAAAATTATAACGCCACAATGAAAGATACAAGCCAACGTGTGGCGATTCCAGGATTTAGCGAACAGTCGTAACTGCAAACCAGAAATGGAGAGATGTGCCCAAGTTTGCATCACTCATTTTTAGCAGAGCTCGTATTAGACTCTGGTTCTTGAGTACAGTCCTTGGGAGAGGTTTACAGACACTGAGCTAACAAAATATGAAGAAAAAATGAAGAAAAGAAATGTTTCAACTTGGTCCAGACTTTAAAAACATATTCTATCCTTCCTAAATGTTTTCTCGTAGAAAATAAAAGTAATATTATTTTCTAAAGTGGACAGCTGACTTTCTGGTTAGAATGTAAATGTTTATTTGGCACTAGTTTCTACTTCAAATAAATTTTCCTGTCTTCTCCCATAATCGATGTATTGTATAAGTCCATGCTAATTCTAGAACAGTGTGATTTCAACGTGAAATTTGTTTCTGAATACAGTTTCACATACTCCCAGTGTTATAAAAGGCTGTTATCCTAGGAAAGTCACAAGAGACATAATTCATGGTTCTATTTAAAAATAATTGTTGGGTTTCATCTAAAACATTTCTCAATGTAAAAATCTATGTGCAATGAAATACAAAAATAGGTGGCCTTGAATAGTAAACAGTACTTGAAAGAGTAAATGAATACTGAACAACAAACATCTTAAACTGTGTGTGCATATAAGAACCAACAGGTTTTAAATATTAAAATATGAAATAGTAAGCAGACATTTTAGGATTTAATATCAAATTTTATTAGCGAGTTATAGAGAAAATGAGATTTTTAAGTAAAAACAATAGTAAGACTGCTTATTAAATTGATTCAAACATCTATGTGTAATAACTGAATTTCAACCTAGGAATACCTACTCCCCAAACAGTAAGTTCAATTCAAGTGGATATCAACATTTCAATGTTTTGTCTTTAATTAACAGAGCACATTCAATTACTCACTAGTTGACCTATTATAGAAAAACACCTAAATAAATTTATATTTGAAAAACTATGATGACGTGTTAGATGTGTTCATTTGCTTTGCTTATAAGCAAATCTCATTCTCCCAATACCAGCTGTCTGCATGCAGATCCAGTGAAACTGAGCTACAACAATGATAATGTCCTCTGCATTTTGAAGACATAATAATGTTCACATTACCAAAGCCCAACTGGTATCTAACAGAGAAAGTGGCATAGGGAGATTGGAATCATTTGCTAGGACTAATGAACAGATAATTTAAAACAAATTAGTAGAAAAAGCATGCAAATAAGTAGGGGGTGAATGTAGCTACTCTTCACTGATATTCAAATTATGCTTGTTAATTTTTATGAAACTCAGCTCATGTTTTTAAATGGAACATCTTGTTCCTGAAGAACCAGATAGCATAAAGGTTGTTTAAGACTGCAGGAGTCAGATTATCTATAGGTTCAAATTTTAACTCAACTTCAGAGTAGTTGTAGGAACTTAGGCAAGTAAGTTATTGTGCCTCATCTGAAGGCAAATATTAAATTTGTTGAAAGTACCCAACACACATATTCAAAGGTAAAGTGGAAGAGAATGAAGCTTCTTTTGTCTACTCTCTGCCTACCTCTACTTGCTTACTTACCTGTGCAATTAGCCAGTCTATCAATTTGTTGGCCATGACCACTGATTTGTAGGTCCTTAAATGGTAGTCCTTATCTCTACAAAGGAAAAAGAAACCAAATTCATTTAGCAAAGGGATAAGTGAGCACAGGCAACTATTTTGATTCAGTACCAGTGTACAGCACCAGTAACTGTAACTGGAGTTCCAGGGGAAACGACAGATGTACTTACGTACATGCAGGCAAAATACTCAACTACATAAAATAAAAATAAATACTCCCCCTCAAAATCAAAAAAAAATCCATCAGTTCACATAAGAGGAGGACAGAGCTGCAATAATTCCAAAATAAGACATTATTTTCTTTCACATTTTCTTATACACAAAGAAAGTATTACTGTAAAAATGTCTGGCAGCAATTTAGCTAGAAACACAGCATCTCATTCAAAGGGGGAAGTAACAAAATAGAACTTGAACCCTTAAATCATAGCTGATTCTTCTAAAACTCTCCTCAAAATGTGGAGAATAGAGCAATGGCCTTCATTCCCGCCTCTGTATTAACCAGAAAGGATTATTCACTACTTGGCTCTCTGTAAAGCCCTCAGGCCTGTCCTGAAGTAGACAGAAGGAGACTCCACCATACAATCTGTCTAATCAGAGTACGGACAGAGTGAAACTTCAAATCCACATCCCCGGGGAATAAGGGGATCCACTGGCGGGCCACATCAGACTCCATGTTCAGTTGACTTTTCACAATGGAGGCATCATTCAAAGTTCAGTTAAACATTTTAAAAGTCTCGTGATCAGTCCTGTGCCCAAGGGCAGAAATCTATAATTCATTTCATGTTGCAGACCCAGATAAAAAGGGAATGAGAAAACAGTAGTCCATGCAAAATGTTAAAAAATACAAGCTGCAAAAAGCTTGAAGTAACTAAAAATTACCAGCTATATTTACTATCTTTTAGCCTCTGTCAGTAATTTACAATTAATATTCACATCCTTTAACTCACTTGCATAAAACGATCCCTAAAATTTGGTTGAAATTTCTGAGACATCACTATGTAAACTAGATTATTCAGTTTATATTTATTTTCTTACATTTTGAATCTATTTCCATGTTTCTAATATCTCATCACCTTTTACCTTGGTTTTAGTAAGCATCAGTAAGAAAGAAAGGGGTAGCCCACCATTGATCAAATATACGTGTTTGGGTCTTAACAGCAAATGATTTTTCTGCTTAAACTGAATTCACAGGCATTAAAAGCATGGGTGTCATACAGTATAGCTGTTTAATGTTCTCCCATAAATTTCCCATTGACAACACATAAACAACGGTCATCTCTAGCCAAAGAGCAAACCTTCTCATCAGTTCTTAAGGAATGTAACTCTTTACATAAAAATCTCTTCTGGTGAAGATGTATTTTCTGAATACATTTCAAACATATAATATTTGCATATATCCACATGCCATGGAGAATTAAGCCATTACTTTTTTTCTAATGTTCAACAGAAGAGACAATGAACAATTGTTGTTAAGTATTTAATATTAAGTTATCCAAAATGTTTGAAAGGTACCACAATATAAATTATGGTATAAATTCAATAGGGATTCACACTTTTCCAACTTTTCTTACATTTTTGAGGTCTGCTGGTGAAGTGGATATGATATTTTCAGGAAAAATGGGTAAGACTCTTAGTTCTCCATTTTTCTCACAATGTTTACACAGTGAAAGAGGGTATTCCAGGGAGAAACAGCAGCTTCTGGACTCAATCTCATATCTGTCTGCCTGTCTGTCCATCTGTCCATCTACCCATCCATCCATCCATCCATCTATCCATCTGTCAATTTATCTATTTTTCTACCTATCTAACTCTGCATTATATTGGAATTGAAAATCAATATTTAAATAGTGGCAATGCATACACAAATATTTGGCTCTATAGCTATTATTGAAAAACATCTTTATTCATTTAAAACATGGCCCATGCATCTGTTTTGAAAATATGATTTAGTCAATAAACTCCAATTTATATCTGGCCATTTGAAATTATCTTAACATTCTATCAGCTACTGTATATTATAAAAGCATAGGAATACTCCTGGTGATTTATTCTATTAGTACAGAACACAAAACTCAAAATCCTCCATTGTCTTTCTAAACATGTAAAAATTACTTCTAGATTCTCTTTGCTAAAAAAGAAGCAATATCTCATCAGTTATAGCCAGGCGTGGTGGCACACGCCTTTAATCCCAGCACTCAGGAGGCAGTGGCAGGCAGATCTCCTATAGTTCAAGGCCAGCCTGGTCTACATAATGAGTTCCAGGACAGCTGGGGCTACAGAGAAACTCTCTCTCAAAAAGGCAAAAATAGTA